TCTGAGCATCCACCTTAGAAAACTAGAGAGAGAGCAACATAGAAATAAATTACATTAAAACAGGAAAGCAATAGAGAAATGAAACAAAACCAAAAGCTGTTTCTTTGGTAAGATCAGTAGCAAAAATAAAAAAATAAAAAAAAAGATCAGTAGCATAGATAAACCTCTAGTTAAAACTAACCAAGAAAAAAAGAAGACACAATTATATAATTCAACATAGAAGGAGAAGTTCATCAAAACTTCTGATAGTTATCTTTTCACCTCTGAGAAGAGTCATACTTTTCCAAAATTTGGAAAACGTGAAAAATAAGCAATGTGAAAAGTGAGAAATGAAACAAGAACAGAAAGAAATAGAAGATGAACTACAACTGTTAGTGTTTATTAAATATCCACTCCTCATATAGGGACATGCTTGGATTCCAAAGATCATGTGGTTATGTTAAAATTGGCATTATGCGAAAATGAAGGGTGACCACACAAGAAAACAAAATGGAGAATTAGCATATCATTACAAAATTGCCAAGTTGAATCATTACCACCGAGAACTCTGGACAATGTTCAGCCATTTCAAGAGGTAGCATTTGATCAAGATTGATTGTATTTGAGTTAGTTAATTGTGTCAACCTGGCCGATAATCACATGTGGGGCTAATTGAAAGGCGGAGGGATAAATGGGTGGTGAGCCTCGCCTTTCTATTTCTCAGGTCTCTTGCTCTGTGATGGTCGCACCAGGGTGCAGCTGCCTTAGCAGTTCCCTGCTTCAGCTTGCAAGATTGACTTCCTACAAGACATCCCCAAGGAGAAGCCCCATGGACCTATCCCGATGCAGCCCTGGGTGCTGGAGCAGTCGTGTGGAGACCCCTGCTAGTGCTGAGATGCTTATTCATTCACGGATTCAGCTTTCCTCCTGCAGTCAGCATCATTGCCTCTGTTTTGTGAGGTGGAGGACTTTGTGGACTGTTGGGTTAATGGTTTAATGTTGAACTTGTGGGCTTGGGCAGCATTGGCTTGGGATGTTTTTCGTGATGCACACTTTCTTTACATAAAACTCTCTTATACATGAGTTGCTGTGGATTTGTTTCTCTAAAGTACCTAGACTAATACAGTATTGAAGAAAGAAGTCCAAGCTACACTGAAGGCAATTTTGAAAATAAGGCTCCAGGAACAGATGGAACAGCAATTGAAATGTTTCAACCAGCCGATGAAGCCCTGGAAGCACTCACTCATCTATGCCAAGAAATTGGAATGATAGCTCCTCGGCCAACAGATAGGAACAGACTCATACCCATTCCAAAGAAGGGGACCTACGAAGATGAACATTTTTTGAAAAATATCATTAATATCAAATGTAAGTAAAATTATGCTGAAGATAATTTAAAAATGGCTAAAGTAGTACACAACAGGGGATTGGCAGAAACTCAAGGTGGATTTAGAAGAGGAGTTGGGACAAAGGGTATCATTTTTGATGTTGGATGGATCTTGGCTGAAAGCAGAGAAAACTAAAAGGACGTTGATTTGCATTTTATCAACTATGCAAAAGCACTCATCTGTGTGGATCATGACAAACTATGGATAGCACTGAGAAGAATGGGAATTCTAAAACACTTCATTGTGTACACATGCAACTTGTGCATGAACTTGTGCAGTCATTAGACCAGAGCAAGAGTATACTGCCTGGTTTAAAATCAGCAAAGGTTTCTGTCATCTTTGTATCCTTTCACCAAATTTATTCAACCTGCATGCAGAACCAATCATCCAAGAAACTGACAGCATCAGGGTTTGAAGAAGGCTCATTAGCAACTTGAAATGTGTATATTACACGCTTGTGCTTGCTGACAACCAAGACAGCTTGAAGTACTTACTGATGAAGATCAAAGATGACAGCCTTCAGTACAGATTAAAACTCAACACAAAACAGAAATCCTCTCAACTGGAATAAAAAGCAAAATTATGATAAACTGAGAAGATATCAAAGCTACCAAGGATTTTATTTACTTTGGATCCACCATCCGTGCTCATGAAAGCAGCAGAGAAGAAATCAAAGAACATAGGATAGCCTTGGGCCAGTCTGATGCCCAACAAGGTCTCTTTAAAGGGCGGAAGAGCATGGCTGTCACTTGGAGGACTAAGGTGCATTTGAACCAAGCCATTGTACTTTGCATCACCTCAGATGCCTGGAAAATTTGGGCAATGAGTCAGAAATATGGAAGAAGATGCATTTGAAGTATGGTGCTGGGGAAGAATATTGAAAGTACTATGGATAGCCAGAAGAACAAACAAAATCTGTCTTGGAAGATGAACGAACAGAATGCTCCTTAGAAATTTCATCTCACATACTTTGGACATGTTACAGTAGGGACAAAACCCTGGAGTTGAACATCATACTTGGTAAAGTACAAGTTCAGTGAAAAATCGAAGACCCTCAAGGAGGCGGAATATGACCAAGTGGCTGCAATCATTGTCTCAGCTCTAACGACCTTTGTGAGACTGGCAGAGCACCGGGCAGCATTCCATCCTGTGTGCAGCTATGAGTTGGAGCTGACTTGACAGAGCTTTACAACATGTTTCAAACCGTCTGTTCCAGTTTCAGATTGGCTGACTTCCTCTCTAGTCTGTTTTCTTTTTGGCTTTGTAGTTGTCATCATTTATAGATTGACAAATCACATGGTTCTTTATTTTCAGTTTTGTAAGCTTATTCTATTTTGGAGAATTCTTTTTGTAACTGGGTTACCTGGCGGTGTTGTCATGCTTCTGAATACCAGGTGGTTGTCTGATGTTGGTTCTCTGTCAAAAGGACTCCCGTTAGTTCTTGTAAGCTTGGCCTGGTTGTTATAAATTCTCATTTAATAGGTGATCCCTGATGGCGTAGTGGGTATGTGTCAGGTTGTCAATGACAAGATCATCAGGTCAAACCCACCAGCTGCTCTGCGGGAGAAAGATGAGGCTTTCTGCTCCCATAAAGAATGGCAGCCTCAGAGATCCTCAGGGGATCCCCCTGTGCAAGTGGGGGTGCGGGTGACCTTGTTTCACTCTGCATCTGTCCCCTCTGTATCTCTGTGCCAATAGGTAGATCATGAAGTTGGCTTCGTGTCACCCTTGTTTGACGCCTTCTGTGTCTCAGAATGGCAGAAAGCGGTGCGAGGCACCACACTGACTCTCTCCTCTGTCATTGTTTTTCTGCTGTCTCCTCTTCCAGCAGGTATTTGATCCAATTCTTTCTCATCTCATTGGAAGCTCACAGTGGTCCAGGATTACCATTTGTGCCTGTTTCGTTGGGTATTTTGAGTGGGCTGTGAACTGCAAGCTCAGCAGTGGAAAGCACCAGCCACTCTTCGGAGCAAAGACTGCACACGCTCTTGGAAACCCACAGGGCGGTTCTCCCCGTGTGCTAGGGTCTCTCTGGTCCGAATGGGCTCCATGGGAGACTTCGATAGCGTAGGGCTTGGGCAGCGTGTGTCACCAGGCTGCAAGCCTCTGGATGGCAGATTTCCTACTAATATTCTAAATGTGAAATGTTGGACCCCGAGATTGTTGGTAAGTGAGGAGTAGGACCAAAGGGATTCTTTTCGAAATAAGTAAATAAATGGACCAGCAAAGAAGCATCGTTATTTCAAAGGAGATTAAGGCAGTGATTTCATTTTAGACAAAGAAAGCAGAACTGGGACTTACAAAAATAGCTTTTGTCCTTTTCTAACTTTTGAGATTACTTAGCGTACTTTTAAGAACATTGTAGAAGCTTAGCAATTGCCACAGATAATTCCAGGCAATAAAACCTAAACCAAATTACTTGTGTCCAGATTTAGTGTCTGAGCAGCGCTGCTCTAAGTGTCTCAGTCTCATTTACACTTGCTGGAATTAATGATGGCAGATGTTAGCCAAAGGTGGTTTGCCCATATCTTAATTTTTTTTAAAACCCCTGAAGATGTGCTTGTTTGAAACAGTTCTTGAGAATAGTCTTCATGAGGTCAACCTGAAGGATGAGCTCAGGCTCAGTTTCCTTACTTGGCCTACGTGTTACTGGACTACTTACTTGTTTCAGTTGTTGGTGTGCAGTTTTAGCACAAATTACTGGTAGAAAGACTTGTTCTTTTTAATCAAGGTTGAAGTGGTAGCTGTCATATTAAATACAATCTACGGTGGGTTGAGACGGATCCTCTGTTGGAAAGTTGATTTCTATTCTGAAGGCCCTCTCATCACACAAGGCTGCCAGAGAAAGAAGCCCTGAGGTGGTGCTTAGCTATTATGTCAAGGAGGCCCTCTTAGGGGTGGAACTAGGGGCAGAGTCTAACCTGTCAATCAAGTGGTAGCTTGGTGACAGCTCCTTGGGAATGTGGCCTTTTGTATAAGAGTAAGAGTGAACAGACATGATTTTTCCATGGACCTTGTGTCCACATGAGTTTATACTCACTGGCCTGTAATCTGCTTCCTGGTTGACCTCTTGGCATCATTGGCCTGCAGCTAGCCCTGGTCCTACGGACTTGAGTTGGACTGGGCTGGGGGACCTTCTTGATCTAAAGTTCTTTCTTGGACATAGATGAATGTCACTGGTTTGTGTCTCTAGACAGCCCAGCCTTGCACACCTAGCTAAGTCAATCAATTAGTTTTATGAAACCAGATGCTAGTTATTAAAGCTTTTCATTCCACATTCATAGATTTCTTCAAGCTTTTTACCATCCTCTTGTTGACCACTGCATTGGGTTTGATACTTCCTTTCCCTTCAGAAATCATAGCTTTAATTCCTAAGAACTACTCTCATTCTCTGCTCTCTTTCTCTTAGTAAATATTTTGAAAATTGTCTATTTAGTTATCTAATTCACCTGAAGTTTATTTTAATGTATAGTGTATTTCAGGAATCTAATTTTATTTCTCTTCTAAAATGGTTAGCTGGTTGTCCCAAGGCCATTTATTGACCAATCTATCCTTTTGAGAGGTGAGTCTGTAATCACATTTTAAACCCTTACATGTTGATATGCTCTAATAAGAACATTTACTCTCTTCCAGAAATCCTGTAATATGGAGAGCTGTGATTGGAACGAATAGAATTAATGTGAGCTATTCATACAGTAGGAAGATCAAAATCAACGCAATCATAGTCCATCCAGACTTCAATTTGGAATCTTATGTAAATGACATTGCTCTTTTTCAGTTGAAAAAAGCAGTGACGTATAATGATTATATTCAACCCATTTGTCTACCTTTTGATGTTTTCCAAAACTTGAACCAAAGGACAAAATGTTTCATAAGTGGCTGGGGAAGAACACAGGAAACAGGTAAAGAGCCTGAATTTTATTGATACATTTAGATTATTGGCAGAAGAGGGTAAATCCTTTGAGGTTTCCACATCACCTTATCTCATGCTCTTTACATCACGTATTTGAAACACGGGTCTGTACAAAGCAGCAAACAGGGAATGCCTTTTTGTCTATAAATTTTATTCTACTTTTTGGGGAGAGTAAATTCTTTTCCAAAGCAGAAATAGATCATTTCTGTGATTATACATGCAGAGATAGTTGAGCATTTACACATTCTCAGGGAAAATCACGGTGTTTCAGAGACTGACAGGTGAAGAAGCCAGCTGGGTGGCACAATTGCCTATCTTAAAGAATGAGTTTGGTTGTAAGAAATCAGATGCCGTTTTCTTTGTATATAGTTCCTTGTTCAGTATCAGAGGAGCCCTGGTGGTGTAGTGGCTAGACGTTGGGCTGCTAAGCACGAGGTCAGCAGTTTGAAACCATCAGCTGCTCCCAGGGAGAAAGATGAGGCTCTCTAACCTGATTAAGAGTTGCAGTCTCAAAAACTCACAGGGGCAGTGCTACCCTGTTTTGTGGGGTCACGTGAGTTGGCATCAACCCCATGGCAGTGAGTCTGGAGTTTGACTCTTTAGTATTAAGTGGATCGATTGTCATATATTCTCTTTAGTGAATATAGGGCCATTAATAAATGTTGAACTAAATGAATGTGAGCAATGGAACTCTTGTGCTTTGCCTTTGGCAATGGCACCAGCTACCATTTGGGAACCTTGGTTGGATGAGGCTTTCTAGCCCTGTGAAGAGTGACAGGGTCAGAAACCCCTAGGAGCAGTTCGGCTTTGTCCTAGAGGCTCACTACGAGTCAGCAGAGATTCAACTGCCATGAGTTTGGTTTGAGGAGGGCCATGGTTTCAAAGATAGTAATCTACTTTAATGTATCTTCCCCATCAGACTGGTGTGGGTTAATGTTGCTATTCCTATGTAGCAGGTCAGGAGTTGAGCATCTTCTCAGGTTAAAACGAAGCAAGTCAAATCCAGAACCTGGTGACTAGAAAGGCCGAAGGTTGAGCTGCTCCATTAAACTGCTCTTGAGGGTATTACAGTCCAGTTGGGAACAATTGTAATCACGGAATGTGTCTCACTTTCCCCCTGTGCCTCATAGGCCCTACACACACACACACACACACACACACACACACACACAC